TCGGAAATCGGTGATTGGTTTGTGTGACGACTGCTGAAGAGGCAACGTAAAACAAAACAGAACAAAAGAATTCTTTTTCAGGTTAGTTGCACAAGCATGCAAACCAACTAGCGTGCCAGCCGGGAAATTTGGCCGATGCGCCAGGTAGAATTGAAGTGTTTGAACACACAAAACAACCTCGAAGAAGGCGAAGTCAACGGCTCCAGCAAGGTGAACGTTTGTGGGATATTTGTTCTTCCCCAGCTGTACGTCGAGAGTGCCTCTCCGTAATGCTGTGTGTGAGCCCCGTAAAGTTCTGATTGACCTATTGGAAGTCGCACCGGACAGTACATTTATTGTTCTCGAATTTAAAAGGAATTTTGGTGAACTCCATCAGATATGATGCCATTCAATGACGCACTTATAGAATCGAACTGACGACGACCCGTTTTATGCAGGGGCTTTGCACAAAAAATTTCTTTGAGAATTAATTTTCGCGGGTATATCGGAATGACCAGACGAACTGGAAATCCAGAATTCAGTGCAGCGCAACAAGTAGCGCGTTTGTATTCGAATTGGCGCATATGCACAGTATATGGAATATTAAAACAAGAGGATAATAAATAGAGCAATGAATAGAGTATCAATCGTGTACATCACATCCACCACACCTTGAATGAGCATGTGGATGTTTATAGTCAAGTGGTGCTCTTGATCGCAATATTTCGGATCTTCTCGGAATGGAAACTTCAGACTCTTGACAGGTTGTGTTCTTCGGATACAAAGTTTTGTTCGGATACCATAAGATCATTCACAAAGGACTAATTAGTATTTGAAACAGCAGGAGTACCGTTAACAGAGTGACTTCTGGTATTGAACTCAACCCGACTGATGTGTCTCCGGTGGCAAGAGAAATCATCCAAGTCGAGAATGGTGACCATCCGTTTGCCACTTGATGAAATCACTATCCCTGTAGCAGGTCGTAAATCATTACCCTTGAAAAATGTAACATCAGCGGTTTTGGCGCAGTCGAGACTTTTACGCAACGAACGACATTTAAATAGAAACGCGGGACTCTTCTCAGTAACGGAATGAACGGCGGTCCTGTATTGCATTAGAAACTTATCAATCCCACGGTCCAAGTCCATAAAAGTAGTAGGAGAGAATGAAATAATGGCAGATTTCAGTGTTCGGACAAATTTTTCAGCAGGCCTATTCGACTTAGGATGTCGCGGAGCAATAAACACATGTGGAGACGCCATAAGTCTAACCGTTTCAAATAATCTTCTACGTCTCGCGCAGTTGTATCAACATCCAATGGTTCCATTTCGGCAGGCATAATGAATTGTTCTAATCGTGATGCCAAAATGTGAGAATAATGTTCCGTACGTATATCAGCATAACCAGACGAACTAGAAATCCAGAAGTAAGCGCAGCGTAACAAGTAGCACGTATGCATTCGAATTTGCGCCTATGTACAGCACGTGGAATATGAAAACAAGAGAATAGTGAATAGAGCAACGAATAGAGTATCAATCACGTTTATCACAATCTCATACTAAACAACTCCTCAAAATCGGATAAACCTTGACTAACTTGCGTCAAATACATCAATCAATGATATCAATATGCTGCTACAGAACCGGGTTACTGACTTTACCATAGCAACAAATTATCTCTAGATAAATCAAGCTATCCAGGTGGTGAATACAAACCACTTGAACCTAAAAAGAAACCTGAGGCCTGTGTGCCTCATAACAGTGGTAGAAGTTCCGTATCCAAGCGAGATAGCCCTGCCTTGTAGGGAAAGATCATATCCAATCCCACTTGGTTGGTGGTTATTTACAATAATCAAGCAAGAGACAAACCTACTTGTAATTTATTTGGTATGAGCGTTTCATGCTGGTTGCTAGCTTGAATATTCGGATCAGAATTAAAATTCACTTCGAGACAAACATGGTAGCCGCTTTTCCTGTATCCCTAAAGTTTAAGATGCAGAGTTTGCTTAGAAAATAAATTGCCGTTTGGGTCGAACAAAGGAGAAATGAGCAACTGCAATGCGCTGGCCAGACAACGCCTGCTTGATCTTAAAATATGAAAACTCCAGGTTGTGACCTGCATCCAGAAATGCAGGGAGTCTATTCGCAACGGTCTCAATACAGGGTATACGATTCCAGCTTACATGTTGCACCTGGATTCTGCATGCTCCATAGTTGATATCAACCGAACTGGAACCCTGTTGATCTCAGCTAAGTCTCCCGCCAATACAAATTGGCATGCACTTGTCTGAGTTCGTGCGATTCACGTTCAAGTAGAGCATAGGGTTGACGGGTACGAAATTTTCGAACAAAATCCTACCACACAAAAAATCATAGGCATACTAACCAAACGTCGAGCAAGGAATGTTCGCATTTGAAACCGAACTGAAATACGACACCCACCTGACTCATAGGCCCAAAAGCTAGAGCGCCCAGCGTTGATTGCTACGGATACGGGGCCGTGAATTCCAACAGCCTGCTGCAGAAGAAGCTCCTTGCCTTCTGGTATGTCGATGTATCCGGTGACATTTACAGCAGCATACTTGGCATCGAAACTGCACTGCTTAGCATAACCAGTAGTACCAGAAACGTAGGGGTAGTGGAGTTCCGTGTCTATTCCCTTAGACTCCTTCACATACTCAAACGCGAGGTCCATCAGACCGCCATTGCATCCGTGGTTGCGACTACTGCAGTCAACAAGCTGCTGTTCTGAAAGGCTGACAAGTTGACCCGTTGCCATGAAGTGCTGACCCTCTATTCCACCAGTAGCAGAGAACGCCCAACACGATCCGCAATTGCCCTGATTTTTCACCGGAGTAACAGCGCCTTTCGTGCGCCAGTCGATCTCCGAGGGCGGTGATACGTTAAGAGGGATGTACGGCGACCCCGACCTCGGAGTTTCGACACTATGGCGAAAGCCGCGTAATTCCGCCATGGTGGCTGCAGTAAAAGATCGGAAGTATTTCATCTGTGGCCAAAAAATGAGATCAACAACACTGAATTACCAGTTCAATCTGGCGTGGTCCCTCTGCCAGCTCACTTTCCAGTTGGTCCCACGAACGTTTGCTCCGGAGGGGAAAGTAAAGCCGGTAGTTCCAGAAGAACTATGGACTTGTAGCAAAGAGTTGTCAATGCGGATCTTCAGGTATCGAAGATCTTCCTCCATTGCGTCCATTTTCCGATGTAGCTGTTCGTTCTGCTGAAGCAGTGCTGGGATTCCTGGGGTTTGGAATAATTGGGCAGATGGTGGGGATAAAACTGGAAACATAGGGATCTCCGGGGCGGTGTTTAAAACGTAATGTCGAAACGAAACTCAGTCGCTTTCCACTGTTTGTACAGTGTAATTTCCCGGCACTTACGCGGGAATTCCACGGGCATATGGGCACGTATATTTCGAATCATGCGATCTACCCTGTTCAAGCCATCAGGCCCAATGCGTACGGGTCGATCCCCGTTGGCGAAAATGGAAACTAATCTACGGACAGCACCGAGACATACGGCGTGCATATAATCTATGGGAAAGCAGTGAACGAAATCAATGGGTAACGTAAAGAATGGAGACGGACTGTTTCGAGTACCCCGACGTATACTTTTGTCAGTTCGCAGAACATGCTGCCCATATGGAAACGTTATCTTCGTTTGGAAGTATTGTCCCTTTATGCAGCGCTTATCACAACCATAGTAGGAATTTTGTGCTCTCATTTGTGTGACTAAGGAGCGTGCCGGCATACCACAAATAATTGCATCCAACACGACCTGCTGATGCAGGTCATTAACGACAACTTCCAGACGCGGGAGCTCTTCCTGTTCCTGCACTACGTCATGCAAGTATGTACAAACGTCCTCGGGTTTACGAACTCCTCCATAAAGCAGACTCAAGGATTTTTCGCAAACCGTCCCCTGAAGGTACACATGCAGGCAGGAGGTGTGATAAGCAATGAATTTTGAATGACCGTTCAAAAAGCTCAAAGCAAAATGGCAAGTCCAAGACTGTGCAGGAAGTCGCGCAGCGCCCGCTTTAATCAATGTTTTTTTTAAATAAAATAGAAACTAGCCCCCTAGTGATGTCTCACTTTCATTGCACATTGTGTGAACTTTAAATATCAGGCCGAGTCAGCAGATAATCGATGTAGAATGTAGGCAAAAGTAACAGGTTTGTTACAAAAATCAGTACCTCACTTACGAGTGTCACAAAACTAGGGTCTTGTTGGATTTCTCGAAATGCAAATCTCGCGGTCCCAAACGTTGTTTTGAACAAATCCGACGGGTTGTCCCTACTGATGAGGTCACTGTATTTTGTAAGCATGACTGTGGTAACTACCTCAAAGATTAGACTGTTGTCTATTTCCAGTTGGCCCTGACACCCCAGGATAATGTGCGCACTTTGATCCACCTTGTTGTTTTCCACCACTCAGTTCGACGCTTCTACCACCCTGGCATCCTCACCATCACTGCTACCATTAAGAGCTCCCAAGGCACTTCTTGCGTTGTCTTCCACTGTGCCCTCTGTTTTGTCTCTTGAATTCTTAAACAACTCCTTTGTATGTGTAACGGTCGAACGGTATCTTCGAGTGGCGCGTAATACCAGAACCTCCGGGTAGGCAAAACAAAGTCGGAGCTGGGTTTCTATACGGTACTATTAGGGTAAGAGAAATTCACAATTTATACAAACCTCGACAGTAGATACGCGTCCAAAACAAACAGTCCGCTTGGACTACAGAGGTACAAAGCAAGGGAGCAAACAGGCTCCCGCGTGCAACAGTCACACGTGCAAAGTCAGATACAAATGACCGGATGACCTCATGGGTGAAGTGGTAAGGACAAACAAACGTCAGTTCATTTTTATACACACTAAACACAAAAATGGGGCGGGGGTTACAAACGGGGCATAATAAACGTGGGAAATTTCATTGTCAACATAACGGATGATACAACGTATGTGAATAAGTGTGGCAACAACACTTCATGTTGTTTGGATGATAGCTACACGGTTAAATAATCGTCAAATAACCGAATTTAACCGCCATATAACCGAATAATAACCGATTTGTGCTGCTAGGGAATAAAGCTAAGTCGCTGCGGGTCTGAAAGTGTTAATTAACGAAATAATAAAAATTACTTTATCGCTGAATTCATTTATGCCCATAGAGTAAGTGACTTGGCCATTCTCGAAGAGTACATTGTGTTCGCTAATTCTGATGAAGTTTTCAGTGAAAATCCCGAGTCTTTGTTCTTCCTCATACTTGCTGCGGTATACCCTCCTGTACTTTGTCATAAACGTCTGCCACATATTGTTTAAGGTAGAATTCCACTCAGCCCCATAAATCTTTTCTAAGCGTGATGAGTCCGATGGGTACGATGAACCGTCTCCTTTCCATGAGCCCAGTTTTCCAACAAGCGTCAATCTCCTCCATGGGACAGGTAGTGGATCGGAGCATACCATGCAACAACCCCAAGAAAGAATGAGCAACGAGACAGCGAGCATCGCGCAAAGGAATTCAGGTAGCACGAAGACGAGTCTTCGCCCATCGCTTTTAAACTATCTTGTCCCGAGTTGCCGCGACAAGGTCACAACAAGGTCGATCGTTCAGTTTTGCCCACAGCTGCAGTTAGTAGATCCATTCGGTTCGCACACAGGCGGGAAGCACAAATCTCGTATAAGGGGTCAGTAGGTCGCCGATTTGGGTCTCATATTAGCATTGAGCGACGGAAACTTGGATTGTAACTCATCAAAGCAGAGGAAAGCTTTTGTGTCACAACGTCCGAAAGGTTCCTGTTGTTTGTTAGAATTGATTGTACCAGAAAGGAACCCTCAGGTACTCCTACTGTGGCCATCCGGAAAGAAACTTTAGTTGTACCAATAGTGGTTCGGAGAGTCCGTTGAAAAGGGTTCTGTGTCGCCTTGCAGCAGTCGCCTTCAATTCCTCGTGATTCGGGTTTCGGATTGTGGAGTCCAAAAATCCCATCATCCGACATGATTCCGTCTCCGTTTTCTCAGGACAAGTTACTATAAACACGATTATATTTGAGACGGCAGGTATTCAGGTTGCTGTGATAAAACCGTGTCAACAGATTCCCAAGCAACTTAAAGCCGCTGCTCGCTAGCTGGCACGGGGTTCATTTCCGAACCATTGGATAAGCGTCCCGGGTTCCAGGGTGTTAGACACGTTATAATAAGCGGCGGATGACTAAAATCCTTCCCATGAATGTCGCATTTCAAATAGATTCCAAATACCTTTGAAGTGGTAGAGAGGAATGCATCAAGGCGGAAGGACCTACAAGTTAGCATGGTGCGCTCTGATAAATTTCCGCCTCAGAATGGAGTACAGGAGAAAACCACAAAATCGTTTGGTTTGGTTCGATCCCCGTCAATTTCGCGAATATAAGTAACATAAAGTCCTATCTTTCCCGACGGCGAAGGAAATTATATACTTACAAAATATGCTCACTTGCACCCCGGTATGGTTTCTAACAGAGATCTATAAGATCCACACACCTGTACAGGATTTGGTCTACTTGGTGACCGCGTGGCTCGCACATTTCAGGCCCATGCCGCTTCGGCCCATGCCTGGGTGCCATCTCATTGCTAGAGGCTCAAGTGGTCATGTTCGTGAAAATCTGTTATCTCATGTCCATCATCGGGCTACGGTTAAGCCAATAACACGGGTTTACGGAACTGGTGATGGAACACCAACTGGTTTTGTTTCCAAGTCCGAGATGACGGCGCGGGCACATTCCAGGTATATTTTGCTGCTAGATTACGCGGTGTTGCCCCTAAAATTCAGCTGCAGTTCCAAATATTGTGGCCGCTGACGAGAATCCTGCGTTTGACCCTGCTAACTTTGTGGAATACCGAAACTCTTAATTCGTAAGCTGCTATGTTCCCTCCGTATTAGAGGAGAGGCTTGATGGGGCATCCTGAATGGGTATGGAATGTTGCAAGATGGTAAGTTACCTAGAGGTGCGGGATATAGTACGGGCATGCATTGGCGAACTACGTATTTTATGGGCGGGTAGGGTTGGCTATGTCAGATTCGGAGCAAGCGCGGCGGAGATTTGGTATTCAGAGCAGTTGGAGACGTCCCTGAAGTGATAAATTTTATGGGAGGGATATGTTTCTATCCACTCCATGCTCATTTCCAGGACCTCCGAGCACACATATCGTGGTTTTAATCATCACGCTCTCCTACCTGTGAGATTCATGGACCGCAATTTGAAGACAGTGTGCGCGATCTTCTAGCATGCACGCCGATAAGAGGTTCACGTGGTGGTTGAGAACTTGCGAGCGAGCACATCCCAGGTATATTCTGCTGGTAGATTACGCGGGGCCGAGTGCAAGTTAGCATTAGAGCAGAGGCTTGATTGGGCATCCCGAATGGACATGGAGTATTGTAAATTTTAATTGAGTACGCCTGAGGGCCTCGTCTCCCTTTCGGGACACACTATCCTTCGTTTTGATCGTTCCTACCGCCGTGGACCTAGCTGCCTCATGCACTCTGATGCTGGAATAGCAGTCTCTATTATTGACGATCCACTCCTGGCGGACACTTCAGACTCTGTTTGGTTTTATGCTTGTCGGGCAAATCCGCCGCTTATTTCCGGGTGATTTTACATGCCCCACCACATTCCACTAGCTCGATTCTTCGTCTGGCTGCGCTTCATATTCTCACTCAAGCTCCATCCCACCCAAACAATCTAATTGTAGGGGATCTC